TGGTTTTTTTTTTAGTTTCTCTTTGTTTTTCCGCTCGGTCGATGCCTGCCTTCTTTATAGGTCACCAAGGTGAAAACAGGCATCCTCCTCCCCTCCATGTGGCGCATTTGCAGACGGATGGAGGTATGTTTCTTTGAGAGGGGGGTGCAGGGGTCCCTTCCACGGCGTGCAAGGCAAGTACCACGGCATCGCCCGTACCGGCATCCTCCGCTCACCGCCGTGCCGGCATCCAGCAAGCGCTCCCCCCGGCACTCTGCCTTTGCGCACGGGTGATGCCGGCGTGCAGCAAGCCAGCCGCTCCTCGTACAGCGCTAAACAGAGCACGGGGTTATCAGCCCGGCTGATACACACAGATAAACAGCCCATCTCCCGCGCTGACACCGGTAACAAAGCAGGGTGTTTAATGCGGATTTACGGCGGGCAGCTCTAGCGAGGCTCAATACGCCTTACGGCGCTCGTGCCTACGTGGAGAAGTATTTCCTCAATTGCATATCGCCGACTTGTTTGCTAAACAACGTGCCAATAAAACAGCAACGAGACGACGAAGGCCGACGGAAAACCAAACCAGAACAGCGGGGCGTGTATCCAACCATAATCTACTTAAAATCAGTTAAGAACACTACAGCGAAAATGATACGGGCGGCCCTGGCCCTCGGCCAGAGCGCAGAGCCTCGCGCCTACAACCCAAATTTTACGGCGATGCTCTCTTCTTCAGCTGCAGAATGACCGAACCGGCAGATGCTCTTGTCGAAAAGAGGAATCCACCTTTATTTGCGAAAGGACATGGTCCAGCAGTGCTTAATGCTCTCGCAAAGGTAGCTGCCGCTCCCCACGTCAGCTGCAGAAGTTATCCGAGACACTGCGAGTGCAAACCGGTGTTCAAAACTGATACCGAGCGTTTCGGGCACGCTGCAGCCTAGATAAAGATTATCCAGAACGAATGCACACGCAATGTTTCCGACACCCCAAAGCAGGTCGTTGCAACCGGGCTCGAGCCTGGGAGTGAGAGTAGATGTCACGACCACATCGAAGGCTCGTAAGCCCATTTTAAAAGGCATCTAACCACATGCAGATTCGCCTGCCTCGTTTGCCTTTATTCATAAGGATGCATAAACCTTTCTCTGTTGCTCATGTTATACGAATCTCTCCCATCTTAATTCCCCTACGTGCCACGCTCCTTTCGGCTGGTGCCCATCGCCCCGCCGCTTTGCAACCACCGGTCTCGACCGGGGCTGGAGAAGAAGCCGACCTCCGGCAAGCCCGACGCGACC